CTAGATTCATTTAATCAATTAGTATTTCACTTTATACACATTAATTTATATATTTTTTATATTATAAAATTAATGCGCAGAAAAAACATCGTGATTGTTTGTGTATGGTAGAAATAAATGTTGGGATCGTTCAACATGGCAGAATCACTAGGCTAACAAAATAGAATCAACTCACTTATAGAAATTTTTTTATTCTTGATCACCTTGATAAAAATTCTAGCTCTGCCATTACGATAGCTATTGATTGATTAGCGAATTAGTAAATTTAAAATCTTATCTTCTACAAGCCAAATCCTTAAGCATAATTATCCATCTGATCCGTCCAATATGCAGCCCGAACATGAGTGAAATGACCCCTGAATTCTTGTCCAGTTTAGAGGTGTTCTTAACATTTCTATCATTTTTTTATTTATTAAAACTCTCATGCTCCTACAAGAGTTTGAGACCACTTGTTATTAGGGCTGTGTATCGGTCGGTTCGGTTCAATTTTGAAGTTTATTGGTTTAACTTATTAGTTATCGATTTATAGACATGCTAAATTGTTATAAAACCCTTAAGCTATTGACTTATCGGTTATTGATCGTTATCGGTTTAACCATTAAGATTTGACACAAAAAGTATTTGAAAATCACTTATAAACAAGGTGACAAACCAAATGAAGCATGCACATGAATTCACAGATTGCATCTTACTCAAAAGCACGCTCAAGAGTTTGAGAAAGCTAGAAATAAAATTAGAAAACCAAACTATAAATCAAGGACCTTATAAAAATGATATAAATATAATTATTTAATTTACTATCGAGTTATGGATTAACCCGTTACAAAACCTCAAACCGTTAAGAATAGATAATCCGATATAAAAAAATTAAAAACATTATCAAAACCTCTAAACCAATAACCAATTATTGATAAATCAATAACTTTTTTCGGTTCGGATTATCGATTTCGGTTCCGTTTTGAACGACTCTACTTGCTATGTCATATGACAAATCCAGGGGTGGCTCAACATAATTCGAGACCTAAAGCGAAATTTTAATTACAGGCCTAAAATATAAATAAATTTATCCGTATTTATTTATTTTCTAAATTTCTAGATGTAAATTATTTCCTAGTATCTTTTTTATAAATGTTTTTTTCAAATAATTTTTTTAATTATTATTTTTAGGTATGATTTCATCAATTCAACATTGGAAAACAACCTTTTATTGAGACAATTATTATATGAATTGTTAACATAATTCTATAAGTGATAAGTTGATAAAATTTAAATAAAGATAAGAGTTAGAATCATAGAATCTAATTCAAAAGATTGATAATTTGGTATACCCTACTTTAATATGAAAAATTACGAAGAAATAAAATAAAATTTATAATTCACTTTTTGACTATTGATTCATATTTTTGACAGAGTATTGCTCTAACTATCAAAGATTTTAAAAAAAAAAAAAGTGCAAACAAAATTAAAAAGGATAAATAATGTGAGTATTAGCGAAAAAATGTGAGTGAAATATAATATTTTCTTGATTTCTTTTATTTTAATGCGATTAAGAAGAAATTTGAGCCTCTCAAAAATTGGAGGCCTAAGACATTGGCTTTAAATATATTTAAATTCAATTGATCAAATAGAAAGATACTTTTAATGCTATTAATAGTTGTTTTACAAGGAAAACGCGTTGTTTTCTACCCACCTTTCCTTGTTCTCTTTTCTTTTGAGAGTCCTCAATTTTTATTTTCAAACGTCCACCATATGGTAGGCTTGTGGGGTATATACATGGACCCCAATCAGTATATTAAAGAAGCAAAGAAGTATAGATTTGTGGCTTTTGAGAATCCACAATAATCTTCTTATTTTTTTCAAGAGGTCCTTTCATAAATATATTAGTAAAAATAATGTATGTATTAAATTTGTGTATTATTAATATTTTATTTAATATTTTTAAATTTATGTATATATTTTATTGTGTATGGCTAATACTTAGAAATTTATGGTATTAGTAATACAAATGATTTTTTTAGAAATTATGTAATGCATGTTATTTTTGATACACTAAGTCAAACACTACATAAGAAAGAATCTCAACGTAACTAATGCAAATATTTTTAGTATCAGCATTACTAATACACCATATTCAACACCTTTATTATACTCCCTACCAAACCACCACTAAATAGTACGAGAAACTTCTATATTTATTCTAGTTTATCTATAACTATCAAAATGGATTGATTCTGCCTATTTGAGTTAGTTCATACAGATTTAGAATTTACCAGACTAGATTAGACTAATTCATCATTTTGACGGGCCACGAGAAGAAGAGGCAGAAAATAAAGTTAGAAAAAAATAAGACATGAAAATTAATCACTATACAAGAAGACATGAAAATTAGTCACTACAAAAAGACGTGAAAATTAATAACTACAAGAAGACATAAAAATTAGACACTAAAAGAAGACATGAAAATTAGACACTAGAAGAAGACATGAAAATTAGGTACTACAAGAAAACATGAAAATTAGTCACTTTAAAAAGACATGAAAATTAGTCACTAAAAGAAGACATGAAAATTAGACATAAAAGCAGACATGAAAATTAGTCACTACTATAAGACTTCTTATTTTTATTTTATTTTCAAACTCCACGATGGTGGCTTGTGGGGTTTAGACAGTGACCCCAATCAATAAATTAAAGAAGCAAATAAGTACACGGAGAATATAGACTATAACTTTTTAGGCTTTGAGAATTCACAGTTTATCTATAACTGTCAAAATGGATTGATTTAGTCTATTTTAGTTGGTCCATACAGATTTTAGAATTTAACACATTGGACTAGCCCGTTTGAATTGATTTAAAAAAAAGTAGTTTTTAAGTCAGAAATAAAAAATCAAATTGAAATGACTTTTAAGTCAAAAAATAAAAAGGCGAGACCTTTTTGGTTTTTTATTTATTTTAAATCATTTTAAACTTATTTTAAGTCATTTCTGACCTTGTCAAATACTTTCTAACTTATTTTAAGTTATTTTTTAAATTTGCCAAACACTTCCAGAATAAATAAAAAATTAACTTAAAATAGGTTGACCAATTTTTAAGTCAATTCAAACACCTTCTAACTCATTATTTTGACGGGCCATTAAAAAAAAGTGGTAGAAAATAAAGTTAGAAAAAAAAGAAAAAAAAAAGAAAGGAAGACGTGAAAATTAGTCACTACATGAAGACATGAAAAATAGTCACTACAAAAAGATATGAAAATTAGTCACTAAAAGAAGACATGAAAATTAGTCCGTACAAGACTTTTTATTTTATTTTCAAACGTCGTGGCTTGTGGGGTTTAGACATTGACCCCAATCGGTAATTAACTAAGAAAATAAGTACACGGAGGAGGACATAAACCATAACTTTTTAGGTTTTGAGAATCCACAAGATTCTTTTTTTTTTGTTTAAAAAATTACGAGGTCCTTTGATATTTTGTATTAATAAAAATAAATGTATGTATTAGATTTGTGTATCATTAATATTTTATTTAATATAATTTTAAATTTATATGTAAACTCTACTGTGTATTTCTAATGCATAGAAATATATGATATTAGTGATGTAAAGAGTTTTAATGCACATGCATGATCAAAGACACAATTGCCTCTCAACACTTTTTTCACATTATTTTCATCATTATGTGGAGGGTATATTTGTAATTAATTTTTTTTTAATAGAAATTATGTAATGCATGTTATATATGATACACTAAGTCAAACATTACATAAGAAAAAATCACAACGTAACTAATTCAAGTATAACTAATATAAACATTTTTAATATTAGCATTACAAATATACCACACTCAACATTATTATTATACTTCATACCAAACAACCACTTAATAGTTTGGGAGACTTCTGTACTTGTTCCAATTTATCTACGACTGTTAAAATGGCTTGATTCAGTCTATTTAAGTTAGTTCATGCATATTTTTAAATTTAACCGATTAGATTCGACTAACTCATCATTTTGACGGGCCATAAAACAGTTAGTCCAATCTATCACTACAAAGGTTGCGGTCCTCATCGGGCAACTCACTATTTAATTTTTTTTAAAAAAAAACATATTTTTAAATTTTAATTTAAAATGCTACATATATGGATCAACGAATTTACTGAGACTTTAATTTAAAAGTTCCGTTCTTAAGCAAGCTCCAAAATTCATAACATTTCCCCATTAAATTATATGTTTAACCTGATCGATCAAACATGCCTAGTCCATATTGAGAGCTCTAAATTTCATTTAGATAAAATTTTACTTATCAAGATCTCTATTTTAAACCTTTATGATCGGTTAACTGAATATATGTGGCAACTTCAGGACTAAAGTTAGGACAAAATGTGTAAGTTACATCTGAATTAAGAGAGTGAGGAAAATTAGTTTTGATCCAAAAAAATAACGTAATAAGAATGAAATAAGAGGAACAAAATAAAGTTAGAAAAAAGGGCTAAAAGAGCATTCTTTTGTCGACTGTCGACCCCTCAAGAAGTTACGTCAAAATTTTGACAAAACCTCTTTGTCTTTTCCTAGTAATGTGTCACATGTTAGCCATCATCCATGCACTCACATCAGTTTTCCTCTACTAAATTCATTTTATAATCCAAAATTAGGAGATCTAGAAATGAGATATCAATCTTTGATCCATACATTATTTTAATTAAGTTGGAATAAAGATAACATTACAACATAAAATAATCGCACAAAAATACATAATAAGATAATTAACTTGAAGCACGTACGAGTGTTGAAAAATTAAAATGGTAGCCACAATACATCATCTATTATAACATTTGAGTTTCTACTGCCTGGATCTTGATGATTATCAGAATCTGGAGACAAGCAAATCAAGAATTGGAGATAATTAGTGCGTTGTTGTATACCCCAAACATCAAATAACTATATATAATAACAATATCATGAAGAAGAAGGAATTAAAATATTAAATAGTTCAGAATATACCAGCTTTAAATGATCTCCTTTTTGTTTCCTCTAAGATAGGGAAAAAAGGCGCAGCCCCTGAGAAATAAATTAATGTACGTGGCATAACGAAATCAATAAACAACATTGTTATGCTATAGGTTGAAAATATGATTAACTAATAGAAGTGTTCTCTCTAACAGATTAAGCTTTTAGATGAGATGATCACATACTTCAATATGGTATCAGATCGCAGATAGAGGCTGCCACCCAAAATTAAAAAAAGAAATTTCACGTGCTTGGCCATGAAAAAGAATCAAACCCGCATGTGAGGGCGTGTTGAAAACATAATTAACTAATAAATGTGATCATCTCATCTAAAACTCTATTTGTGTACATGTTGATCCAACAAAAACATCTTTCTTTCTGCATTCATCCTCGAGGTATTCTGAGAACACAAACCATTCATTGACATGGAAAACTACCAAAAGATTGCAATCATCATAGACACTTTTAGATGAGATAGTCACACACTTCAACACTATACAAGCACATTAATTTAATTAATTGAGAAAATTAAAAACCAAAAGTATATAGTATATATAGTAACATTTGAAGTTGTAAAATTACTTGAATCTGCAGAAGTTGAAGGTTGGTTTGATTCCTTGAACAACAAAAATCCCTTCTTCATTTCTGTTACAGATGACTTTGGCATATTTAGCCAAGTCTGTCAGAAGAAAGTAATATCCAGTATAAACACCATCCACAAACATCATTAACATAGTAGACGATACAGATTCTTCTTCATCATTAAGAATATTCGTAGCGTCTGCATGGATGAAATTCTTGGAATTCACTTCCTTCCATCCACCATTTGCTTCAATTCTGATAATGCTATGAAATTTGTCGGGTCGAGCCGGAGGAACCCAAACTCTAATTTCAATATCATCTTTGCACCTATTTTCTATAACTGTATGCTTAGCACCCATTACTATTTATTTTGTTTTATCAATACTCGTGTATGAATATTATGATGTGAAAAACCCTCCATCTTATAGTATGATGATGCCAAGTGTTGATTGGGAGAAATATTACGTGTGAAATATGACAGTGATGACATCGGAGAAAAAAAAATATGACAATGGCATCACAATAAAGCAAGCACAAGTTTAGGAAAATGGTAGAATGGATAGTCATATAAGTATATTATATTATGATGTGAAGGGAAATATTAATAATAAAAATATCACATCACAATCAAAGCAAAAGGTTTATTGAGAGAAAAAAGAAGGGTATTAACAGCTTTGAATTTGCCGAACTCATCATTCGTGACCTAGTGAACCTGGGTCTCATGGGTGAATTTTCTAGTTTGTATCAGCAATATAATGACATTATTATTTTTTTATGGATGTTTTGTTAATTATATCTTAATTTATATCAATTTTTCAAAATAGATATATATATATATATAATTTTTTCAAAGTTAACGAATGCACGTACACTCACTCAGAAGGTCCACCTCTTAATAAATAAAAATCTATTTTGTGGTCTCATAGTATCTTTATAACTTGTCTCTTTTCTTCTTATTCTTACTCCTCTTACCCAACCTTCCATTCACGCATCTCTCTATCATAAACTGCATTGTCTTTTTTGTTTTAAAAAAAAAAAAGAGAATACAAATAGTTATTTAAGTCAATTAACAAATTTAAAATATAATTAATTATTTCCCCCCATTTTGTCATAACAAAATAAAAAGTCAGCAAAAGCAGTGTTTGAAAATTGTCGTTCTTATTTTCTTCTCTCTCTCTTTAATATTACTTTTCTAATGTAGTTTATTTTCCTTTTTTCTTAATACTTCTTTATGTCTATTTATCAAAAAATTAAATAGATTAATGTTATTTCAAATTTAAATTTAATTCACTATATATTTTAAAAGAATTAAATTAAACATGTGTTCTTTAACATCATAAAAATTCAATTGTACTATTTTAGGATAAACACAAATAGTTATTTAAGCCAATTAACAAATTTAAAATATAATTAATTATTTCCCCCCATTTTATCATAACAATTTACAATTAATTATTTCCCCCCATTTTATCGTAACAATTAAATTTTCATGTAATTTTAAAGCACAAGTTTATTGAGAAAAAGAGAAGATACCCATATACGCCTAAAAGTCACTTTCAAGTCTGACTGAATGACCGCCAAAATATATAATGTGTACCTATTATTTTTTATTTTATTAGGTTAGAAGAAGTAGTTGGATTAATATTGTATTGGTATATATAAACAGCTGGAGAAAAAAAAGAATGAGTCAACATACTTTTTTTTTCCTTCACCCTTAAAATTCTTAAAATTCAGTCCACGGTTGCTTTTTGGAAATTGTAGGACTCATTTGAATTTTTTGCCTTTATGTCCTCAGGTTATCTTTTATTTGCAACGAAAAGTTGGATTTGACATATAAAATAGTAATTATTTTATTATACTGCCTATTAATTAATGTTTAATATTATATTTTGAAAATTAAAAAATAATTTTAAATTAAGAATAAAACATGTAAAGAAGTCAGAGTGCTAATAAGTGGAGAAAAGTTAGAAAGTTCGTAAACTTTAGACCTTGGAAAAGTTGGAATGAGAGAAAAAGGAAAAGGAGTAAGTTAGAGAAGAGGGTGAAGTAGGCAAAGAGAGGGGAAGAAAGAGAGCTAAAAACGCAGATAAAGAATAAATAAAGTGGAGTTCGAGGCTTACTTTTAGGGATGGTTTGGTATGAGGAATAAAAATAAATAGTTTTGGGATAAAAAAATAGTTTAGAAATAAAATTTTGGTGTTTTGTTTGGTTGTCAGCTTGGAATAACTTATCCAACCATTTATACCATAGTGATGGATTAACATATCCCATGGGATAACTTGTCCCAACATAGCTAATCTCAGAATAATTAATTTTGAAATAATTTGTTCCTAATCAAACGACTCTTCATAATTTTGAATTTGTGATTGTTTTTTTTTTTTTTGTGAATTGATCTTCACAAAACGTAGTACGTAGTCCTTGTTGTATGATTTGATTTTATGATTCTATAAGACCTAATTTCAATTAATGTTATGAAGTTGTTTATATATATATTATCTCTAAGTGCTAAACGTTTGACATTGTTTGAACCTTTTATATTGCTAAATTCAAAATACAATTGATATAACATGTCATTACTTTTTGCATGTTTAAAAGTCCAACTCTTACTTTGTTTTTTATTAAAACACGAAATTCAATATTCTACGCTATATAATTAATTAATATATGAATGAGTTCTATTGAATCAAGTTACTTTTTCTCTTTTGTATGATTAATAATATGTGCTCTTTTTTTTTATATAAAATAAAATAAAATCGGTAACTTTCTTTGGATATTTTTTGAGTGATGAATCTATATTAAATTAATAAGTTTATGTTAATCTATGTAATTAACTTTGATTGTTGAACATTGGCTTCAGTTAATTGCAAACGATTAACGTTTAGCAAACAAATAGTAATGTATAGGTTAATATAAAAAGTGAGCTTTGAAAACTTCATAGTTTTATCACTACTATATATAGTAATGGTAAAAAAAGAGACATTTATACTGATTTTTAAAGTATATTTTTATGTTCTTAAAGTGGAATAAAATATTCTCAATGTTAATGTCGGCTTCCACTTTTTATTATTTTTATTAACAACTTGATCATGACAAAAATAAAAATAAAAATAAAAATGCTCTTAATGTTCTACAAGACATTTTTTTAATAAGATGACTAATTGTTACAATTTTTTATTTTCTTGCAATAAAATAGATTATTATAAACATTAATATCCACTTTAATTTTTCATTTATTATCACCCTTGATGATAACCAATAAAAAAAGTACACCATTGAATGTTCTACAAATCACTAGATACGTAAGTCCGTGCCAGCATGAGCCCAATATATCTTACTTATTTTGTCGTAAATTATATGAAACGGATGAATTTAAGAGTTTCTCAAATTTTTATTGTATATTTTCTAAAAAAAAATTAAGTTGTTAATTATTGTGACTTATAAAATTCACATAAATTTTAAATAATATGTTATTCTCTCTATCCCAATTTATGAGGCACAGATAAAATTTGAAGAGTTTTATTTGTTGTACTTTTAATTTTTTAAATTCAATGACATATGCTCTTTTCTACTAATAATATTAATGATCTAACATTAACATTAGAAATACAAAGTGATTTACAGATAAAAAGATGGAGAAATAAAGTAATCAAACAAATTACTTATTAAGTAGTACCTATTTGATATGTTTTTTGTAGTAAAAATTTACTTTCTATATAGTAATAATAATAATTTAACTATATAAAATAAAATATTTTTCAATGACATTTAAAAATTAAAAATATATTTATGTAAAATAGAAAATGGAATAACTAAAATATGAATACGAAATATATTTACGTAATATGAAATATTCCTTTTTAATTAACACTAAATTAGATAAATGATGAAACGTGCATTTTAATTTAATGAGATCACATTAAAAAAAGGAGAGGATTGAATTGGCCCCACCAAAAAGCTATAAATGAGTAAATTGGCTGAATTACAAATAGAAATAAAAAAACGACATTGCCTAGGTTCAATCCAGGATCTTGCACATGAAATATTCAACTGTAACCACTAAGCCAAGCAACTTTAGATGATGGGAAGCACACATGTTGACAACCAGCTGTGTGCTTCTAGCCTCTTATACTATATAGAATTTTTTCGATATCATGTCTAATTGTTATAAATTTCTAATTTTTGAAATGGAATAGACTATTATAAACGTTAATATTAACTTTCATCTTATATGCTTTTATCATGACCAAAAAAAAAAGAACTTGATATTCTACGAGACATATTTTTTTGATAACATGAATAATTGCTTTAAGAATTTCAAGTATTTTGATCATGACCCATAATAACTACGAACTAAATGTTATTGTGGAGTATTAAATGTTGTTATATTTTTAATTAGAAGGATCGTGTTTGAATTTAAAATATGAAATTATCTTTGACAAGGAGTTTTTTATCCTTCAAAACATGACTTTTCTATATGAATTTAAATTAATCAGGTTTCAAATAGCGAATAATGTTTAATCTCATACAATACCCAAATAATGATATCGAACAAAAATAAAATGAAGTCAATTTCTTACTCTTCTATCGGTGAAAATTTGATGTATGCTCAAACTTACACAAGTTCATATATTAATTTGTAATCAGGATAGTTCTGAATTTTTGGAGGCAACAATGTATTTACTAAGAAGACTTTGATATTAGCGACAAATATATTGATTCGAGGGCTGTGCCGTACACCGTGACAGAAGCATGGACATATATGTCCCTCATGAATTTTGAACTGAGAGACAACGGGTGTGTATCACTAGGTCTGACATGCATCACTATACTTGACATTGCATATCTATAACCTTTGAGAACTTGTGAGTGCATTTATATGGAACTTGTGATTGATGGACTTGATATATCCTGCGTACCATTAATATGTGTCATGTGCTATTTAAATTGTGAACTGTTAGGTTGAGCTAATTTTATGCAGATTTTAGTTGCGCAGGTTCGGTTGGATTGGTAGGAGTACTCATATCCTATATACACAACAACAAATTCGATTATCAGGGACAAATAATTTCGTCACTAAAAATCTTGTGAGACGAAAAATAATTTGTCAATTAGTCGTCACTAAATGTGTGTCGCTAAAAGTATACTAAAACGATTTAGTGCTTCGTCGCTAAAAGTATTATATTAACTACAAAAAGAAAAATCGTCCCCAAATGCTTAAAAATTTGTGACAAATTTATTTGTCGTAAAAAGTATATTTTTTGTAGTTAATAGTATGCTTTGTCACTAAAAAGGTTATTACTAACGACAAAATTATATCGTCGCTAATTATTTTACTTCAATCAGTGACAACATCAATTGT